GGCGCTGATCGCCGGTGGCCCAAACCTCGTGGATCGTGGAGACTGAAACTATTGGGCTTCGAGTTTAGGGCTTAGGATGATAACAGTTTTGTGGACTACTAACTGTGTTAAGTCTGAACTTTAAGCACTTTGGACCTTTAGGGTACCAGCTCGGATAGGTCCAGTGTAAGAGTGTAGGGCCTTCAGGGCTTTTCGAAGGGTGTAGGGTTAGGGCCATGAGGTTATTAAATTGGGGTTGAGGGTATAGGGCTTAGGGCCTTAAGGGCAAAATTTGGGGTGGGCTTAGAGGCTGAGACTACGAGCTCGGATAGGTCGAATGTAGCGGCCGTAATACTTCAACGAAGATCTTTTCGGGTTGTATGGGGGCACGAAGAGGGGCTTTAGGGACTATGAAAAAAGCTTGCCTACTCAGAAACTCTAAAGGGTCCATGTGCCCATATAGTATACACTTTGGCCTTAAAGCACCTAAATAAAGACTACATTGTTAAGGCCAAAGTATATACTAGATGAGTACATGGACCCTTAAAGGAACCCTTACAGGAACCCACGGCTAGCTCTTGAAAGCCGAACCTAAAGCTCCAAACGCAGAAGCCAATGCTTGAAGTCCCACGCTCCATCACTATACTCTAAATATAGGAAACACCACGGAAAGTTAAGGAATACTGGTCGGTAACTCTTCAGGAGTTAGGATTAGGGGGACCCTTGGGGACATAGACCCTCTCAATAAGGTCCCTTCTAAGAGAGCCAAAAGTAGGGTTAAGAAGGGTCCTCTTTAAGGGGTCTCCCTAACACTACCTAGGAGCTTGAAGTCCTAGGCTCGGGATGTAGTCACAAAGTTTGCCCATGACTGATTATTCCTCAGAGGTCTCCGAATCAATATATCCTACACTGTACCCCAAAACCCTATTAAAGCCCCGTATATCAAGGAACCCTTATAGTAACCCTGAAGGAATCCTTCAAGCCCTTTGACAGGGACCCTCTTCGAAATATCAAGGCCCCAGGTCTACACCCGCATCGTAACCCTTCAAAGGAACCCTTCAACGGAACCCCGAAGCTCTCTTCTGTCTCTTCTGAATACGGTATAAGAAATACCCTAGGCCCAGGAAGTAGTGGCAGAGCTTGCCCATTACAAACCCCTAAACCCTAAACCCCATAAACTTTAATACCCTGGGCTCCGGACGTAGTGGCAGAGCTTGCCCATGTAAGCTTTGGAATCATCGGGCCAGATCCAATCTTCCTGGGGGCATGGAGCAAGGATTAGGGCTTTCCTTGGGCTTTATAAATAGGGTCTTAGGGTTTAGGGGTTTGAGGGTTTAGGGTTTATAGGGGTTTAGAAATCAGGATTTTACGACTTTAGGCTTTGGGGGTTTCTAGGGGTTAGGAGGTTCGGGGTTGAGAAGTTGGTCTTCCGGGTTTAGGGCACGAACATGGGTCTCCACAAATATACCCACATGGGAACAACAAGGATAGCAAGAGGGGTCAAAGAAGAGAGCTGGACAAAACCATGGCCTTGGACCACTAGCGCGAGCGTAAGGATCTTACTACAAGAAGCAAGGCTGCCTGACATCCAAATCGGTTCACATGTACTGAGATGCTATCCGTTTGGGTTGGACCGCTTGGTAGACTCCCGACACCCTTGAAATCTAGGATCATCCAGATGTTGCTTGGAAGCAACCTTCCCCGAACATATGAACTTTACAATTACAGAAGAGGATGCCGTGGACGCTTGTTTGTTAAGCCGAGAGTGGCCGAAAAAGAAGCGTCTTGTAGCTAACATTAGGCACTCCTTCTTCTCGTCGGGCATGGTGTGCGGAACCGCTTCGTAGACGCGAGCATTCCTGAGCAAACATGAAGCACATCAGGCAATGGAGTGCTGGATAGTTAGTAATCTTACCCCTTATAGTCACCATAGTGCTCTTCTGTGATCTACCCTTGTAGTTAGTCACCATCCAGTTATGTAATGATATTTCTCAATAATCCAAACGCTGTTCTAGCTGGTTTTATTTCATTCCCTCTAATCGCGAAATCGTTTGCCTTATAATGCTTCTAAAACAGCCAGTGCAGCGGATCTGCCGACATGTGGGACTGCTGGGAAGCTACGTCTACCCACTAAGAACCCAATCCGACGGCTTTCTGACGGCAGTAAGAATCGGAAAGAAAATCACCAAAGCCGTCACAGCACCTCATCGTATGCTGCATTTGCAACTGTTGCAGGCCCTCGGACAAAGCCTAAAACTGCAAAACCCTAAACTCCAACCCCCCTCGCTCACACCAAGCCCTAAAGCTAATTCCAAACACCCTAAACCTTTAAGCCCCAAATCCCTAACACCCTAGACTATAAAGCCACAAAACCCTTGAAGCCCCAAAACCCTAACACCCAAAACCCTTCATTCTAAACTCCCCCACATCTTCCGGAAACACTGGCAATCCTCGGTTCCCAAGGACACCAAGGGGCAGTGAATCAGGCTTGTAGTAAAGCTGCTCCTGCGAGATGAAGGTGTCAGGGCTTCGGGTCTTGCGTGAATCTAGGATAGGGGCCTTCCAACTAGAACAAGGGTTCTTGGAATGTTCTGTAACTGTAGTATGGCTAGAACAACAGGTTTCTGGGGTATTCCGTAGTATAACTCATAAATAAGGGACTATTAAGGGATAGTATGGCTAATGTAGGGGCCCTAATCATTACCTATATTATTTTTGGGGCTCCTTAATTATGATTATAATATAACGGGCCCCCAAACCCGTATTCTAATTAAGGCAATGAAGGCACCTGTATTAACTGTTCCGACCCCGGTATGAGGTTGAGTCTCTTCGGGTTCAGAGGGTCTCCTCTTCCGGAACTAACCTGGCTAGACTTCAGGGTCACGGAATCCGCTTCATGGTGGATGGTATAGGGTCTAGGGTGTAGGGTTTTTAGGGTTTGTTTAGGGCTTATAGAGTGAGTAAAGAGTTCAGGGCTAGATAAGACTTTCCAGTCGTGCGGCGGTTTGTGTGGTTGGAACAGGGCTTGTGTAATGCGCGGTACGATAGGCACCACATGGCTGAGCAAGGTAAGACTTTCTCGGGCTCCTGTCTTTCGCGCTGTCGTATCTCGGGCACGAAAGATTAACATATCAGAATGTTGGAACATGTAGGGGAGACTGGCACTTGAATCCTTAAGCCTTGGTAGAGATGAGGAGGCTGATCAAAGGTGGATAAGAGTAACAGCCCCAGATCTGATCAAGACCCTACTCCCAAATCTCTAACCCCTATAACCCCCAATCCCTAAACCCCAACCCCAACCTCCGATCCCCGTCCGTACATTACTTCCGGACCCTCTCCCACCACATCGCCCGCCCCGGAAGGGGTCCATCAGGCGTGACGCCAGCTCGCCCAGCTGCTGGACCTGCCCAACCGTCTCGTAGAAGCCTGGCTGCGAATGCACTCAGAATAAGGGCAGACATGATGCTTGGAGGATCATGGGACTTAGTAAGTAAGGTTATAAGTACCCTAATTGGGGTTGTAATTATTATAGTTACCTTGTTTATAACCCTAGTTGCTAAGTCCCATGATCCTCCAAGTATCAAACGGCAGAAACTCTCAAAAGCTGATATTGACAATTTCCCGGGCCGAAACCCCCTAAACCCTAAACCCTAAAGCTTAAACCCAAAGCCCTGAACCAAAACCCTGCAACCCAAACCTCCAAATCCTGAGACCAAGAGGCGAAGGGTTCGGTTCAGGAGAACCAGGCACTTCGAGGAGTTTGCCAAAATCTCGTGGTACTCCGAGCCGTAGACATCGCCTTAGGGGTTTGGGGTGTACACTTTTTTTTTTTTGTTGTTGCGGGCCCTTTTCCAACTGCTGAGGTAGCCGAAACTCCCTACCGGCAGGAGCCGGTTTGACGGCTGGGCATACGTGCTGCCAAATACATGGCTTAAAAGTTTTAGGGTTTAGGGTTCAGGGTTTTAGAGTTCGTTTAAACATTTTAGGGTGAGAGGGGTTTAGAGGGGATCCTTAACACAGCATGAAATTGCAGGATCCTTCTACTAGGGATTTGAATCTAGACTGTAAGTCGTCGGATCCTCGCTATAAGATCCCAAATAGCGAGCAACATCCAGAAGCATCCTAAGAGCCTAAAACTCCTCTGACAATTGTAATTGTAACCTACGCGGTTATATTGGCGGCCTTAGTTCTGAACTTCAATCTCCCGAAATCCCCAAACCTTGCCTAGAGTCCAAGGGGCAGGTTGAAGAGTGGGTTGAGGGCTTGGGGCTTAAAGGCTTAGGGTTGCTAGTTCAGGGTTAAGGCTTCACTTGCGGGCTACAACACCTGCATGTGTTCTTGATACCAGCGATTGAGGGTTTAGGGCATCAAAACCTTCATGTCAAAGATTGTAGAGCGCAGTTTTGGCGCGCTGGCAAACAATGTTAAGTAGCAAGTGCCACCGAGAAGCTGTTGAACTGCAGTGCCTTGTAAAGCTCATCGTCAAGCTTCTCAACGAAAGACAGGTACAACTCCTGCAAATGCGAGCACCGAAGGGTGTCAGCACGGAGAAATCTTTATTTGTGGTCCATGATTCAGGAGTTGCGGGTAAGGCCTCATGAAAAGCTGTCCCCATCGAAACAGGAAGCTTGCAATTTAGAGTCGACTGCTCGCGGCAGTGTTTGCAGTCCTTTGCCCGATATGGTTCAGGGATTTTGAGATTTAAGGATCTCATTGTGTAACTCAGTCCCCTATAGTATCATATTATAGTTCAGCTGAAGACTCTAGAACTTGCGTAACCTCTGTTCACATACTACTACCCTTACGGCGACTGCTGCAGCCACTGCTGGCGCTACTGCTGCTGCTGCTGCTACTGCTACTCCGGCTATTATTACAACAACTACTGCAAATGAAATAATAAGTACTACAGTAATAATAATAATAACAACAATACCAATAAAAATACTGAGAAAAATAATAATAGCAATGAAAACAATAAAAATAGCAATAATAATAATATTAGAAATATTTACATCACCGTCCTGCAGTCTCGCGTGCGACTTCGGATCCTCGACATCCTTGGGCGCTGCATATTTCTTTCCGTTGATGTTGTGTGGCTGGGTTAACTTATTTGAAAGGCATTTCGGCTGGGTTGGGTTTTAGGGTTTAGGGTTTAGGGTTAAGGGTTTAAGGTTTAGGGTTTAGGGAAGTGTTGCGATTGTAACAAACAAAATTAGCTACTAGATGATAAGTCCCAGCGGCCGTATCGGCGGCAGCAGCCTTCTCATCAGTACTACCTGCATGGCTGGGCTTGTCTTGCTTGTGTCTTGTTGTAGTTGCATGAATGTGTTTGCAAAGGCGACCAACGTGGGTAGGGGGAGCCGCCTGAATGTTGGGTGAAACGTTATTTCCAAGAGTACATCCATAAGCACGAAAACCATGTCAGGTTGTCACAGACTAGCCGAACAGCATTAGAAGTCAGTGCACGAATTGTGGGGGGTGTGTGTGTGTGTGTAAACTCATCCGCAGTAGCACTGGAGGCCCTGCGGGCAGGCGACTCGGGGCAAGTCAGCCAACTTATATGTTCAAAAGACCAAAAAACGTCGCAACGGCCCCACAACA